CCTCTTCCCCAGGAAAAGTTCAAACAGCCGCTAGGAAAGCTCAAAGGTAAATGATAAACTTCAAGAAGGTAAAAATCCTATGGCTGTAGCCACGGCACCAGGAACAGTGCTGTCTGCTAGCATCATCAAGTACCGCGTACCATTGTTACAGTAAGAACGGGGCCTCTTAGGACTGGCGGCCCAGCAGGTCAGTACAGTGACATCACTAACGTGAATCAAACCTGTGCTACGATATGAAGCTGGCTACAACATCCGAGTTGGCACCACCATCACATACATGGTCCATCCATGACTACAATGCCACATGGCACACGATTCTAAAACAAAAGGGCAAATCTAAGGGAAAAGATGATCAGTTTGACTTAAAGTCCAACATTTCCATGTGGAAAAAAGACAAAAAATGAATCCAGAACATGGTGTAAAGCACCTCAGAGTCCTAAGTTGGCCTTTCATAACGTGGCCGCTGACTGGGTGGACGCCAAGGCCTCCTTTCCCCTGCATTTGCACCAGAAGGTTCTTCTGGAGAAGACCCACCTGCAGATGCAGGCTGAGACCCCTGCGGCCCTCTGCCCCTCACTCTCCCTCCTTCAGAGCCAACTCCCAGCGCAGTCCCGGGAGCTGCTCCCTGGCTCTTCTTTCCTCCCTTCTCTGCTCACCCCCTCCACCCCGCCCCAGCCCTGGATTGCTTTTGCCAAAATGGATACCTTGGCTGGCTGTCCTTAGCAAAGCTAATGCAATAAAATAAAATAATAAAATGAAGATTGCCACCAATATGGACCATAGCTATGCCAGATTTTTTTTTTTTTTTAAACACTAGTTGTAAGATTTTTGTCTCACATGTAGATTCTGGCTTTACTCAAATAAGTCAGAGCTAGAGTAAGTGCCTAGTTCTTCCTGGGGAACTGGGGAGCTCTGGGTTCCACAAAGCCTTAGCTTTATAAGTATTTAGGAGATGTACTGCAGATATTTATACGGCTACCTGTGCTTACGACTAAACTCTCCTTTAACTTTTCTTTAAATATGAATGTACTGTGCAGAGAGAGACAGAGGAGGGAGACAGGAAAGACAGAGAGGGGGGCAGATGGGGGAGACAGAGAAGGAGAGGAGACAGAGAGAGAGGAGGGGGCAGACAGAAGGGGGTGATAGATAGTGAGAAGGCTATTGGGACAGAGAGAGAATGAGTAGGGGAGAGAGGGAAGGGGAAATGAAGAGAGAGCGTGAGTGGGGGTGGGTCACCCAGTCACCTATGTGCTAGCATACTATCCTCTCTGTCGCTGTCTCCACCTCTGTCTCCCCGTCTCTACCTCTCTCTGTCTCCCCCTCTCTACCTGTCTCCGCCATCTCTGTCTCCCCTGTCTCTACCTCTCTCTGTCTCCCCCCTCTCTGTCTCTACCTCTCTCCCCCTCGGCCTCCCCTCTCTATCTCTACCTCTCTCTGTCTCCCTGTCTCCCCCGTCTCTGTCTCTACCTCTCTGTCTCCCTTTCTCTCTGTCTCCCTCTCTCTCTGTCTCTACCTCTGTCTCCCCCTCTCTGTCTCCTCTCTCTCTGTCTCCCCCTCTCTCAATATGATTCACTCCCCAGACTATTTCCAAAGGATGCGTCCACACAAGCCAGCCTTCATCCCTGGCAGTGGAAGCTGCCTGTGCCCCCCCCCCCCCACCTGCCCCAGTCTACTTCCACTCAACTCTGCTCTCCAGGTCTGGTTTTTCTTCCCTTGTGCTGAGTGGAAAAATATGAACTTGGCACTGGGCTTCGGACATGGGTCAGCTCAGTCCCTGGGCTGTAGCCAATGTTCCTGGTACACACAGACGTGCAGATATGGAAACCAGACAGTAGAGGCTGTATGTCATGTATGTGTGTGCATGCGTGAATTCTTTATCTGCTTCATGTCACCAACCATTTTTATGAATCATAATTCTCACCAGTACCCACAAGAGACCACCTCACCCCAGCCTTAGCGATGGGGATGCACTAGACCACAAAGGCAGCAGTCAGGACAGTCGGGTGCGGCACAGAGGGAGGCTCACGTTCAGCAGACCTGGCCTCAGAGCTCAGGCCCTGAGCTGCTGCCCACCCTGCCTCTCCTCCATCTGCAGTCACTGCCTGCTGACCTTTCCGAGGGCACTTCTGTCACTGGAATATTCCAAAGGCCCACCACAGTACCAGACCTGGTGTTAACATATAACATGTGCTTAGAGAGAGTCTCTTAATTTAATCTTCTCTACAATGTTTGAGTGAGGATTTCAGGTTGCATACATTCAGGGTGTATGTCTGGATGAGTGACATATGTCTGTGTTGTGGGATTCTTGTTTCAGCTCTGGGGATTGAACCTCAGACCTTTCACATCCTCAGGGGCATTCTACCAAAGAGCTACAGTCCCAGGCCTCTGTGTAATTACAGCATAATCAAATTAATGAACACATCCACCACCACTAACGTCCACCAGACTCCCCAGCACTTGTTCACAGTGTAGCATATACTCTGACCCGCATTTACTTAATGAAAAACTTGGTCCACTTTTACCTTTCACTTATTCATTTGCCTGTTCGTGAACAAATGTTGACGGGGCCTCTGCAAGTAGGCCTTCGCCACGTGAAAAGGTGACGGGCACAATGAAGTCCCTCTCCTGAGAATGCTGCAGTCTTGAGGGAGGACAGAGATGAATGCACAGTCGGCACCACAGGGGGAGGACAGCGGGCCTTGAGACGACCTTGGCTCGTATGCTGACAGATTACGTTGACAGCTAACGATTTTGAACTACTGTGGTTTGCCCACACAGTAAAATCACCACAGGGCTACCGTGGGGACAGTGAGCTGTCAGAGGACACAGACAGAAGCAGGCAGTGCAGCGCAAGGTTATCACAACAGTCAGCAATGGGTTAGCCTAAGGTAGCAGGAAGAGCCCTAGGGTTGGAGGATTTGAAGAGAACATTACTGAGCAGAGGAAGTTACCAGAAGGCAGACTGGGATTCGAGAGAATCAAGTTTGGATTTTAAATGCCTGGCTCACCACCTAGCATGGCTTTGTTTTGAAGACAGTGCTCAGTGATGATTGTGCAGGACAGAAACCCAGGACCTGAAAACCCGAACACCCTCAGGATCCACCGAGGAGGTCCACTAAGGGTGTGACTCAGCAGTGGTGGGGCTGGAACAGTGGAGCTGACTGTAGACGAAAGGCTGTGCTGGGGTTGGGGGTGGGGAGATGGCTCAGTTGGCTCAGTGCTTGCCATGAAAGTCTGAGAACCTGAGTTCAGATCCCCAGCACTCATGTAAGGCTGGGTGTGGTAGCACGTGGCTATGACCCCAGCATGGAAAGGCAGCAGACACTGGAGGATCCCTGGAGCTCCAGACCAGTCAGTCCAGCCAAATCAGTGAGCTCCAGGTTCAGAGGTCCTGTCTCCTTATTCAACTGCATACATGAGCTGTAGAATAAACAAACAAGGAGAAATGAAGCTGGAGCTGACCTCAGAGCCTCATCTCTACTGGCTAGCGTCCACAGTGCTGGAAGGTGCTATGCATGCTACCAGAAGGAAAAAGTCATCAGCCTTATCCAGCTGTGAAGCCTCTGCACTATACCAACTGGCCTGGCAAGACATGCCCACTGATGCAATAGTGGCATGACTAGTATGGGAATAACCAACCACTCTTTAATTGGATATAAGGTTCACTTCATAAGTTGAAGCTCATATCTGACACTGATATCAGGCTTAGGAACCTGAGGCTAGACAGGTCATAGGACACAGGGGAGAGCCTAACACTACTTTTCTACTAAATAGTTAACATATTAAACTGACTCCTAATAACTTATTGTTATACCTATAGATGAATGCATTTTTAACTCTCACCAGAGAGAGACCAACATGAAGAGAATAAGATTACAGAGTGATTTTCCCTTAACAGGACACCTAGATCAAACTTCTGCTTCCTAAGGCTCAGGGACCATTGTGGAAGAGGAGCAGAAAGATTCTAAGAGCCAGAGGTAGTGGATGACCACAAGGAAACAGTTTTCCAGACAGCTGGGAAGTTACTCATATGAACTCACAGCAACGGTGACATCATGCACAAGGCCCATGCAAGCTCAAACCAGGAAAAATCCCAGCATAGACATGGGGAAGGGGGTAAGAAACCCAAACCCAACCTAAGAAAATTGTACTGTATAAAAATCACAAAAATTCAATTAAGAATGTTGAAAGAAAAAAAGGAAGAGAGAGAGAGAAAGAGAGAGCAAGAAAGAAACAAAGAAAGAAAGAAAAGAAACCCTGTCTCAAAAACCACGGTAGAGCTGGGTGTGGTAATGCACACCTTCAATCCTACCACTCAGGCAGGTAGATCTTTGTGAGATTGAGGATAGCCTGGTCTACATAGTGAGTTCAAGGCCAGCTTGGGCTACAGGGAGACCCTGTCTCAAAAACAAAACCAAAAATTAAAAACTAAGGAAGAAAACAGCTGAAGACCCTGCTGCTGACCTCCGACCTCTACACGCATGCACATGCACACACACGCACCCACATACACGCACACGCACCCACACACACCCACATGCACACACGTTCACCCATAACACATACATTGAAGAAGAAAATAGGGGCTGGAGAGAGGCCTCGGTGGTTAAGAATACTGGTTGTTCTTGCAGAAGACCTGGGTTTGAATCCCAGCACCTACATGGCAATTAGCAACTGTCTGTAACTCCAGTTCCAGGGGATCCGACAGCCTCTTCTGTCCTCTGCAGGCATTTCACGACATGGGTGCACTTACACACATGCAGGCAATAATGCATACACATAAAATAAAAACAATAAATAAAATTTTAAAAAAGAAAATAAAAACAAGGTTACAGTGGCTAGCGTTGCCCTTGACCTTGAGTTTGTTACCACCAGCACGGCTACGACCACAGCTGCCTTTGCTGATACTTATATGAGCCTTCTGCCTTCTGCTAAACCAAACACATAGCTAAAATCTGTAGCATAGGGACTTTTGGCCCTGCCTCATTCGTCAACAAATGTCTGTCCAACAATATTTATTGGGTCTTACTCGGCCAGTCATAATTCTACACAAGACACGGTAACAAGTGTACGGTGTCAAGTAACACTTAAGACCATGTCAGTGTCTCACACATCCAAAGACAGCACACTTCTGAAGTTCCGCTGTGAATGGGAACGAAACAAAGCACAGACGCACTGAAAGGATCCCGAGTAGTTCACACAGCGTCTGAACTTTGACCCCGTCTCTAAAGCACATCCGCTTCACAGCACGACCTCTTCAGAACACCTCTTCTTTGCTTTTTTGCATGTGACTTTAGGACACCTGAACATCTAGTCCCCGCAGATCGATCAGAAGGGGCGGGCAGGAGAGGACGAAGAGTGCTGACTGAGCTGGGTGCGCCGAGGGTTAGATGTCAAAACACCACCTCCCTGCCAGAGAGAAAACAGTATCAAAAAAGGAAATAAACAGAAACTTGTCATTTGTTTTAACGTCACAATCTGAGGAAATGTCACCATTTTCTGTGCATGGGAAGCCGATCAGAACTCAGTAAACCTGGAGCTTCACTGTTTTAAAGTACAGCATTAAGTGGGCGCGTTCACACAATCTAGTGAAGAGGTAGTCCTGAAGATACTGGATGGACAGTTAGAAGAGTGGTTGATTTTCCCTGGTTGTTTGGAAAAATCTACCAAAGCCAATAATTTCCTCCTCCTGTGACCCCAGGTGCTGCTTTGATCCTGGAATCATGTCCGTGCACCACATGCACAACTTACACGTGCTAACAACAACTGAGACCCACAAATGTGATCTTGTTTACAGAAGCTGTGACAGATCCTCTCACGTCACCCATCACGCCCTCTTTTTGCCTGCAGTTCAGTGCCAGCCAGCTCTGCCCCCAGCTGCTGGGACCTGTGTGTGGCAGTCTGCTCACACACTGGGTTGGTGGTGTTTTGAATGAGACTGTCCCGCAGAGGCTCCGAGTATTTGGACATTTTGTCCCCAGTGGGTGGCGCTGTTTTGAGAGGTTTTAGAAGGTGTGACTATGCTGGAGGAAGCACGTCACTGGGGGTGGGCTTACAGAGTTCTTAAGCTTTGCTGGATCTCCAGTTGCTCTCTTACTTCCTGTGCCTGCTTGGAGATGTACAGCTTACCTTCTGCTCCTCCTCCAGCCGCCTCTGCAGCGATGCCCCCCCTGCCATGACGGACTATAATTCTGGAACCATAAACTCGAATTAATTCTTCCTTTCATAAGTTGCTTTGGTCAGTGTTTCTATCACAGCAACAGACAAGTGACCAACACAGGGTTCAATGATGGAGGCCAGCTTCCTGGTGTGATAAGGCACCTTTTTGACCATACCTACGCCATGTTGGAATCCAGACTGAACCTAGCCTCTGAAAACGAAAAGGCAGTTGTCCCAGGGTGTGGGAACAGGTAGGTGCAGTTGCACCGGCTGGCTAATAAAGGCTTTCTTTTTGACAATTTTCTGTATCGGAATGGTCTTCTCTGGCGAAACACCCACAACAGCAGCATCTGACCCTTTGTGCTCCTGGGATAGAGTTGTGTGTGTGTGTGTGTCTCAGGTATCTGCCTTTCTCACCGAGCATGTGCACTCTGAAGCCTGAGCTGGCTCTTCCTTCCACAGGGTCAGCTTGCACTCAGGGCCAAGTGGAGGCCCCTTGTCTTGTCACTTTTCTGTTGTGATAAAAACATCCAGAGAAAAGCAGCTTAATTTGCAAAGCAGCAGAAGCCAAGAGGAGAGCACCGAATGGCTGCTCAGCTCCCTTCAGGATCCTAGGAAGTGGTGGTGTCAGCCTTCAGAGCTCTTCCCACTTCAACCAATTTAATCAGGATAATCCCTCACAGACCTACCCAGAGGCTAACCTATCTTGGATAATCCTTCACAGACATGCCCAGAGGCTAACCTATCTTGGATAATCCTTCACAGACATGCCCAGGGGCTAACCTAAAAGTGGATAATCCCCCACAGGCATGCCAAGAGGCTAACCTAACTTGGATAATCCCTCATGGTGTGCCTGGAGGTTAAGCTAACTTGGATAACCCTTCACAGACATGCCCAGGGGCTAATCTATCTTGGATAACCCTTCACAGACATGCCCAGGGGCTAACCTATCTTGGATAACTCTTCACAGACATGCCCAGAGGCTAACCTATCTTGGATAATCCTTCACAGAAATGCCCAGAAGCTAACCTAACATGCATAATCCCTCACAGTGTGCCTGGAGGCTTGTCTCTGAGGGGATTGTAGGTTCAGTCAGGTTGACAACACCAACCGTCACACCCATCCTGAATGTGCTGAAAGCATCCTTCCCTGACTAGGACACCCCATCACACCAGCATTTGGGGTGACAGCTGGGCTGTTCTTCAGTCACTGGTTCTCTTTTCAGAACTGCCCAGCTCACTGAATCATAAACTTTAGACTTAAAATAGCCTTGAAGTCTGCCAGCCTTACTCTGAATTGTCTACAAAGCCATCAAGCACTCCCAAAGTTCCTTGGTTGTCTTTATTTCCAGAAACATTCATTTACAGAACCGTTAACTAAGATGAGGTATGGAGTCCACACTGTGATAAACCCCAACATAAAGGGCTAGTGCAAGGATTGAACCAACCACCTTCACTCCTTTAAAGTAGAAAAGCAGCTCCCCAAGCCTAGTTAGAGAGCCTGAAGGTAGAAATTGAACAGGACCAACCCACCCGCTTTCTTTTAAGGAAATCAAGGCCTCTCTCCACATTCAGTTAGATTAGTTTAGGAATTACTTCCTATTACCTGTAAAGTTAGAGTCACTACCAAACTATAGGTTTCCCTGTGTGAAGAAACAGGTTTTATGATTCTTTTGAAGGGGGTCTTTACATCCTGTCATCTGTGAAGCATCTGACATATCCTTGCACATTATTTTTGTTGTTGTTGTCTGAGACAGCATCTCCCTGTAGCCCCAGCTGCCTGGGAACTCACTATATAGATCAGGCTGTGCTCAATCTCACAGAGATCTGCCTGCTCTCCTGAGTGCTGTGATTAAAGGTGTGTGCCACCACACCCGACTCTAACAAAAGGTTTTCTAGGGGGTGGAGAGATGGCTCAGCGGTTAAGAACACTGGTTGTTCTTGCAGAAGACCTGGGTTCAAATCCTAGCACCCACATGGCAGCTAACAACTGTCAGTAACTCCAGTTCTAGGGGATCTGATGGCCTCTTCTGTCCTCCGTGGGCATTGCACGACATGGGTGTACTTACCTATATGCAGGCAATACACGTATACACATAAAATAAAATAAAAAATACATAAAATATTTAAAATTAAAAAAAGGTTTTCTAAAATTTATTTTGGCTTATTTTAATTTTGTATCTGTGTATAGTGTACATATATGCAAGTGCACCCATGTCATGCAAAGCCCTCAGAAGACAGAAGAGGGCATTGGATCCCCTGGAACAGGGGTTATGGACCGTTGTTAGCTGTCATGTGGGTGCTGGGATTCAAATCCAGGTCTTCTGTAAGAAGTCAGTGCTCCTAACCACTGAGCCATCTCTCCAGCCCCTCTTGCAGAGTTTTTATAAACAGTGGTAAATCTTCCCTCATAGTAAGACACTTGCTAAAGTAACAAAGGATCTCTGCCATAGAACCACATTCAGAATTCAGAAAACACACATGCTAACTCTCCTTCTATCTGAGCCGATCCTTCATGGAGAATTTTACATGTGAACGAGGTGGTCAGATCAGATTTTCTTGGCACTGTAACTTATCATTTTCAAGGATCAGACTCTTTCCCTGTAACTACTGCTTATAAATGACAGCACATGGTTCAACTTCTCACTTACAGATCATGTCCCTGTGAGAGGATTCCATGGGGGGGGGGACTCAATCTCTCTCTCTCTCTCTCTCTCTCTCTCTCTCTCTCTCTCTCTGTGCTGTCTGTAGCTTTGAAGAGCTTTAAGTGCAGACACTGCTTTAGAAAAAGAACAGTTACGATTCTCCTGACAACTCACCTCGGAGTGCTGTGTACAATCACTAACCGGTTCCTCTCACAGGTCATCTTAGGGTGAAAGATAAATGTTACCAGGCCCTGAATATCCTTCAAGAGCCAGAAGAATCATCCTGGAGAAAAGTGCTGGAGTGGAACACATGTGATAAATATGTACCAGGGTGAGGATTCTTTGGGAAGAGCCTCTCACATCACACAAGGCTCATTCAATACACTTTCTAGATTCCTTCTGAAACTGAGATGTCTCTTCTCATTTGGAGTCAGCAGAGGACACATTATCCATAAATTCCCTAAGGGTGCGTGTTTACTCCACAGTGCGTATGGTAACAGCTATGTTTCATTGCATATATTCGTGGCCATGAATTAAATGAACTTGGGAAAACTCGCTTCCAGCCAATACTTTTCTTTAAAAAGACAAGGATATGGAAGGCAAAAATTGAATACAATGATCAAGTTGTCGCTCTTACTTTAGATTGACCAGATATTCTTTTTTTATTGATTCTTTGAGAATTTCTTCCAGTGTGTTTTGATTATATTCAAATCCCTTGTCCTGTTTCCTCTCAGACTCACATCTCCTCCCTAACTCTCTCATTTTACGTCCTCTGCTATTTTTTCTGAAGGCCTCCTGAGTCTAATCTGTGTTCCCCAAATAGTCTTGGCTGTAGGTCCATCCCCTGGAGTGTGGTCAATCTAACCAGCATCACACCCTTAATGAAAACGGACTCTCCCTCTCCCAGCAGCTATCAGTTGCCAAAAGTTCCTCAGCTGGGGGTGGGGTTTTGGCTAGATACTCTTGATAACATATTTGTGCTTTCGTAATTGCCATAGCTTAGAAGCCATAAATAGTATGAATATTATGTTTTAATGAATCATTCCAGCCTTAGGTCTCAAAACAGAACTTGAGGATGCTTGTAACCAATCCAGCTGGTTTCCTCTCTTCAAAGACCGCAGCTCCCCCGAAATGCTAACTCACCTCATTTTAATCATTACCTTCTCAAGACATTTACTCCTAGTCCTTGGATCTGGGGACCATCTGTTTTATCATTTAGAGAGAAGTTACAGATGAGATCAATTTGAGGTGGGAGTGTGCCCTGGACTGCAGAGGTGTGGACTTGACAGAATCACAAGGCAGGGGGAGTTAGAGAGAGAAGGACGCCCAACAATGGAGCCAGCGCCCAAGCTGTGGGGGCAACGCTAAGAAATGGAGAAGCTGGACCAGGCAAGAATAGACTTTCTCCTTAGAGTCCAAGAGGAGTCTTCCTGCTAGCTCTTGACTTTGCCCCGGTTAGACTGATTTTGGAATTCCACCTAGTAGAATGAAAGCAGAATGAATTTGCATTATTTTAAGACACCGAGTTTCTAGTAATTTGTAATAAATTCACCCATTTTAGGGATCCAATCATGATGGTACATGCCTATATTCCCAGCACTTGGGA